ATCCAAGGTCAAAGCCAGCCTAGCAGAAAAGTCCATGAGCCTCTTATCTCCAATACACTACCAAAAACCAGAAGTGAAGCTCAAGTGAAAGAGCACTAGACTTGAGCAAAATGAACTCAAGAAGAACAGCGATGCCCCACTACTGACAAAAATAGAAAAAGAAAAAAGAAATAATGTTTTTTATAAGCACAATGTTGGTTGAGGGCTGGGAAGGTGGCTCAGTGGTCGAGTGCTTACCTCACATGCATGAGGACCTGCATTCCCTTCCTAAGCACAATGTAAGCAGAAAAACCCGGAAGTAGTCCTGTGGCTCAAATGGTAGAGCACTTGCTTTGAGCTCAACAGCTGTGGGGCAGCACCGAGGAAGGGATTTCAAGCCCCATGACAGGCAAAGAAAAATGTTGCTGAAGTATCAGTATTCTCTCAATTATGCTATTCTCACTAATCATGCTATTAATTAATAATATTTCATGGTATTCTCTTTTTCCATTGGTTCTTGGGCTTAGCCTCAGGGCCATGGTGCTGTTCATGAGCCGGATTGTACTCAAAGCTAGTGCTGTACCTACTGAAAACTGCTGGTGGATGGGTGGTTAATTGGAGATGAGAGTCTGATGGGTACTTCTCTTCCTGAACTGGCTTCAAACTGCGATTCTCATGCAGCTGGCTTGGCTAACATGTTCATCCATGTTTTGTTTTCATGCTATTTTTTGTTTCAGAATAAAATCCATGATATCCTAGATATGGAAGAGATGGCAGATGGTGACGTTGACATGGGAGTTGCCTTCTTCACTCATTCTGCAGCTGGGTTCCTGGGGATCTCCGGTCTCCTTTCTTTTTACAGCTACACCCTCTACACTGAAAGGTGAGGGCCACAGACCCCCCTCCTCAGCCATCTGGTCATTGCCAACAACTTGGTTGTTTTATCCTCTGGGATCCCTCAGAACATGGAGGGATTTGGATGATGCCGCATGTAAAATTGTTTTGTATTTATTCAGAGTAGCCAGAGGGGTTTCTCTTAATGCCACCTGCCTTCTGAGTGGCTTCCAGGTCTCAAAGCTTTGCACTAGAAATGCTTGGTGGAAGATCACTACTAGATTCCCCAAGTGCTTTGGATTCTGTGGTTCCCTTTCTTGGACCTTTCTGATCCTGGTAAATGTTTCTGTGCCTCTGAGAGTGACTGGCCCAATAAACAAACAAAATGTCACTCTGCACATGCAATATAGATACTCCTCCACAATAGCAACCCCACCAAAACCATTTGTTCCTTTATCACAGATAGTCTTATTCTCTTTCATTGATGTTATGTGCTTGGTTTTCAGGATGTGGGCCAGTGGATGCATGGTCTGTGTTCTGCACAAACACAAGCTGATGGTGTGGCACATTCACAGTCATCTTCCCTCCCAAAGACTTGATCACGAGGTCCGGGCCATAAGCACCATCCTGAACTTGGTGAGCATGGTCGTCTCCTTGTACTGCCTCCCTGCCATTTTCACTCTTTGTGTTGGTCTACATATGAAACCAGACCTGTGGCTAATGGACATGGCTGTGTTCCTGTGTGTGGGTTTTTCAGTTGTGAGCCCCTTTGTGCTCATCAGCAGTGACACTCGTATCACTCAGGTGTCTCATTCCTGCACTGAATCAAAGATTTTCATGATTCCCTTAAACTAAGCCATTACATTCAATTTCCACTTGGTTCATAGTTTTGTTTTTGCAGCAATGGCATTTACACACTACGATCTGCACTGCAAGTGCAAAGGCTCAACTACTAGAGACCTGCTCTAGTCTTTTTTCACTCTGGTTATTTTTGAGCTATACCCTTGCTTTATATCTAGGTCAGCCTGTACTCTCATACTCCTATTGTGTTTCCTGAAGTACCAAGGATGACAGATGTGAATGTAGATGCTGAGATTGTATAGTTTACATAGAGTCTTGGGGAATTGTTTGTGCCCAGGCTGACCTATCACTGCAACCATCCCAATCTCATCCTCACACATGGCTGGGATGATGGGTGTACACCACCACAGCCAACTACTATTGGAGGGGAGATCTTGTGGTCTGTTTTCCTAGGCTGGCCTTGGATCTGAATCCTCCTGATTCAACTTTGCATGTTTGAGCCACTGCATCCTCCTTGGATCATTCTTTGAGTATTATTATTATTATTAGTTGTTGTTGTTGTTGTTGTTGTGGGGCTTGAACTCAGGACACTTTCCCAGAGCTCTTTTCATCAAGGCTAGCACACTACCATTTTGACCCATAGCACCAGTTCAGATCTTTCCTGAGTAGTTTATTAGGGAGAGGAGTGTCATGGACTTTCCTTCTAGGCTGGCTTTGAATTGCAATCCTCAGATCTCAGCTTTCTGAGTATTAGGGATTCCAGGCGGGAGCCACCAGAGTCTGGCATAAATTTTTATCTTTAAAATTAATAAATGAGTGTAAAATAGAATGTGTTATGTAACAATCTGTGTGAAACTGACTGAAAGTAGACTTTGGGAGAATCTTAGCAGTGAAGTTCCTGCCTTGCAAGACACCAAATTTGTTTTTTTTTAAATTATTGTGAAAATACTGTACAGAGGAGTTACAATTACATGGGCAAGATAATAAGTACATTTCTTATCAAGCATTGTAGCCTCCTCCTTTGTTTCTCCTTCCCATTCCTTCCCATCCTCCCCACGCCCCCCCACCGAATCCTCCCTGCCCGCTTCCCCCCCTGCAAGAAAGTTTTAAAGTTCGTTTTCGACATAACGACTTGTATATCTCATTATTGCAATGAAGACCCCTAATTTGTTGCCTGAAACTCAAATAAAATAAAGTTATAGAAAATTTCAATGTAGGTAATGTGGCCTAATGATCTCTTACTGTTAGTTCACTAAACAAATATTGCATAATGTACAATTGCTAATTTGCAGTAACTGAGATACCAGAAGATGAATGCTTTCACCCTATTATGCAGGAATTACTCGTCATTTTTCTTCATTATCTAATGAATTGTGCTGAGTATGTGTAATGAATAGAAGTGTTAAACTTGGAAATAAACTTTAATAGCACAAAAACAAAGTGTTATTACTTATTGTTTTGTCACAAAGATACTTGAAAACATATTACCTTGAAATATATTTAGATCCAGTATCTTCAGGTAAGAAGAGTATTCTAGGATGGTCTCTCCTTTGGGATTTCAGAGATCTGAAGACATGGGACATGTTTCACCTCAACCAGGAGACATGGTGTCAGGTCAAACAGAAAACCTGTGTCACAGCTGATTCCTAAATGTAACCCAGATCAGTCCAGAATTCCATCCTGTCCTAAAATTATGACAGACTCAGTGTGAGGCCGAGCCTCATGCACAATATCAGCAGTCATCCTAAAGATGATTTACTTGATGTTTAAGTAAAATGTACATTGTATTTAACAAAGGTTCACAGGTTTATTTTTATTAAATTACTATGATTTTTACTAGAATATATATAATTTCATTGTGGTGATTCAAATATAGATAAACAACTGTGTGTGATAGTGTGTGTATTTGCGAGTGTCTGTGGGATTGTCTGTGTTGGGAGGCTTTTTACTACAGATGCAATCTCTTCTTTAGTTATTCAGATTTCCTGCTATTTCTTGATTCAGTTTTTCGTTTCTTCCTCCTTTTTTGTTCTGGTCCTGTGGCTTGAACTGAGGTCCTGGGTGTTGTCCCTGAACTATGCTGGATCACCACTAGTGCTCTACCACTTGAATCATAGCATCACTCATGGATTTCTTGTCATGGCTGTCTTCCAACAGCAATCCTCAGATCTCAGCCTCCTGAGTAGCTCTAATGATAGGTTTGAGGCAGCAGTGTCTGCTTTCTTGAGTCAATTTTGACAGGAATAGTGTTCCTAGAAACTAACATTCCTAATTATATGTGATTGTTAGAAACCTTTTGGGGGGCGGGGCGGTCTGTCTCTCTATCTCTTTCTTTTTCTGCCGGTACCAGGACTTGAATTCAGGGCCTGTGGTAGTTTAAATTGCTTACTCTGCTGGTCATCTGCAACTTTCGCCATGTAGGTTTTTTATGTTGGTTTTATTCTGCTTTTGTGTTGTGCCATTCCAGATGTTTGAACTCAGGGCCTGGGTAATCTCCCTGAGCTTTTGTACTCAAGGCTAGCTCTTTACTATCTGAGTTTCAGCCTCACCACCAGCTTTTTTGTGGTTATTTGAAGTAAGAGCTTCACTGGGTTTTCTGCCTGGTCTGGCTTCAAACATTGATCCTCAGACCTCAGTCTCCATGTAGCTAAGATGACAGATATGAGCCACCTGTGGCCGACTTGTAGGCTATTACGGAGATGGAGTCTTGTGGACTTTTGTGCTTGTTCTGATTGTAAACTGTGATCCTCCTAAACTCAGCCTCCTGAGGAGCTAGGATCATAGGACTGAGTGCCTTTTCCTGGCTCTGTTTTGCATTTACACAGGTCAGGAATCATCTGTGCACTTCCATTTCTGGTTCAGTAATTTGAATCTTCTGCTTTTTCCTTTGCCAATCTAAGTAAAATTTTGAACAATTCTTTGGTCTCTTCAAGCACCCAATATTGGGGTTCGCTGACTTTTCTTTCTTTATTGTAGGTCGGTCAGGGGGCTTGAACTCTGGTCCTGGCCCTTGTCCCTGAGCTCTTCAGCTCAAGGCAAGCACTCTACCACTTGAGCCACAATACTACTTCCTGTTTGCTGGAGGCTCATTGAGATAAGAGTCTCAGAGACTTTCCTGCTTGGGCTGGCTTTGAACCCCAGGGTAGCTAGGATTATAGGCATGAGCAACTGCTGCACTGCCCAGTTCACTGACTTATCTATTTATCTTTTTATAGCTTGCATTCATAGTTCTTTCCTTTCATATTGTGTTTACCTTACTATTATTTTCTTGCTCTGTAAGGAATTATGACAGGTGGAGACTTTTGGGACTTTCTCTTTTGTAAGGTCAGGATCAAAGTTTCCCTCTCCACACAGACCTGGTTTCTATTTTCTTATACAGATGCCCCTTAGATTTTGGCGATGTGGTCATGCTGTTCACAGGAAGAGTGGCATTCTGGGATTGTATATTCTCTATCTCTGAAGGTCAAAATGGCTGGAATAAGTGAGCAAGTGGAAAGTTTAAGAAACAACTGCCCAATAAATAAGTAGGCTAAAGACTTAAAGAGAAACTTCTCTGAAGAAGAAAGAAGGAAGAAGGATGACCAATAGACACATGAAGAAATGCTCAACCTTTCTAGCCATAAAAGAAATGCATATCAAAACAACATTGAGATACCACCTCACTCCAGATAAAATGGCAAAAATCAAGAACTCTAATAACAACAGATTCTGGAGAGGATGTGAACAGAAGGGAACCTTACTTCATTGTTCGTGGGAGTGTAAACTTGTTCAACCACTTTGGAAAATAGTATGGAGGTTCCTCAAAAGACTCCACATAGAGCTCCTCTATGGCCCAGCCATCCCACTTTTGGGCATTTACCCAAATGTTGACAAACAAGACCACACTAAAGTTACTGGCACAACTATGTTTATTGCAGCATTATTTACCATAGCTAAGATATGGAACCAACCCAGATGTCCCTCAGTAGATGAATGTATCAAGAAAATGTGGTATATATACACAATGGAATTCTATGCCTCCATCAGAAAAAATGACATTGCCCCATTTGTTAGGAAATGGAAAGACTTGGAAAAAATTACATTAAGTGAAGTAAACCAAGCCCGAAGAAACATAGGTCCCATGGTTTCTCTTATTTGCAATATCTACTATATATATGAGTCAAGCAGAAAAGGTCAGATAAGGTGATGTTAGGAAAATGAACCCTAAGATATGTATTTAAATGTTTTTTTCTTTCATGCATTTGTTTCTAATGCATTTATAAGATTATTTCTTTGTTGCTTTGTATGTCCCTCCCCCACAGTATAACTCCTGCTTTCACTGTATTTGATGTTGGTATAATTTGTGGAGGGGAAGGGGAAAAACAAGTCGTTTAAATAATGATACAGGTGGACCCGTTGCAACAATGAGAAGAACAAGTTGTCATGTCGAAAATGAACTTTGCAACTTTGGTGGGGGGGCAGGAATGAATAGGGGGGGGCAGGCTAAGAAGGAATGGGAAGGGTAAACAAAGGAGGAGGCTACAATGCTTGATAAGAAATGTACTCACTATCTTGCCAATGTACTTGTAACCCTCTGTACAGTATTTTCACAATAAAAAAATAACAAAGAAAAAAGAAAATACAGAGTTCTGGTTCACATATTCTGACTTTTTGGTTGACTGCCATTGTTTCTTTGTACTTCCTAGAATCTTTGGATCTTGATACTCTTTATCTTCTTCTAATTTAGTTAGAAGGCTTGGCTCAGTTTTATTCTCCAGGGTTATCGAATCAGTAAGAAATTCAGAATTCTTTTCATCTGATACCACATGCTCCTTGGGATGGATATTTTGAACAGACTTCAAACCTCTTGATTCATAGGAATCATTTCCACTGGGTTTAGATCCAGACACAATCAAATCTCGGCATTCTGATCCAGAATTTTGTCTTTTTGTAAAAGCTTGCACAACTGAGCTATCCATCTTCCCTTGATAATCTGGGCTGTTTAGAAGGTCAATTGGAACTTTTCCAAATGGGCAAGGCAGTTTAGTTTTGTTAGTTTGCTTCAAAGGATTTGGAGGACCTATTTCTGCCTCTTGTGAGGGTATGTTCTCTCCATTAAATAACCAGGCTTTAGTGACCAGTTCTCTGGAGTCACTGCCAATGTCCCTATTCGGGACATGTCCAAGAGAACCAGAGGAGGATTCCTGGGCTGTTAACATGGTAGAACCTGACAGACTCTTCTTCTCCACCTCTGAACGGAGTTGCTTTTTTTTTAGAGGTTTAGGTTACATATGGCAGTTTCCAGCATTTCCAGTGGGACTGCTCCACTTTCCACAGCTTTCAGCAGAAGTTGTTTACTTTTTCTGAAATTATCTTGAGAAAGCTCATACTGTGCAAAAGATATGTTAACAAAAACAAACCTCTTGCACTTTGCTCTGGCAATCTGAAAGTAGTCACGTGCATAACCAGGCTCTTGAATAGCTTTTAACTCAGCAAATTTCGTTTGAATTTGAGCAAAACTCTCATTTTTTCTATATTTATCAGGAGGTAGTGCTTCAATAGCTTGACTGAAAAGACCAATCAATTTATTTAAAAGAGCATCATCTAAGGAGGCACTGTTTTTCTCTAATTTGAGCAAGAAATTCAGCCAGTCCTCGGGGTTGTTCGCCATCATCATAATATGGTTAACAGTTCCTGAGTTATCTGTAGTATCAGCAGAGACTTTTGTCAAGCTTAGAAAATTGCTAAGGCCTTCATTTTTAAATTTATTCTTAATATCTCTCACTTTGCTCATGATGAAATCAATTGTCAATTCTCTGCCACTCCCATCTTCAGCCTCTATTTCTAAGGTGCACCTAGTCAGTTGAGTGAGCCAAAGCTCCACATCCAACTTTCTGATGATCTACTGCAGGTAAGTTTTAAGGACTTTCCAGCCCGAGCTGGCTTCAAACCACCATCTTCATATCTCAGCCTCCAGAGAGGCTAGGATCAAAGGGGAGTGTCACTGGTAGCTGACAATGCTACACTCTTGAAGACAGAGTCAGTGCTGCCTCACAGCCCCCAGCATGGCCGATGATGCAGGGCGAGTATGCGAGCCAGTACCGGCCTCCTAGAAGCCACAGGAAGGAAAAGGAGTACATTTCTTATAAAGCTTTGTTGCATCCTCTTTGTTAACCCTTCATATCCCTTCCCATATTACCTCCACAACCCCCACCCGATTCTCCCCCACTCCAACAAAGTTGTAAAGTTTATTTTTCGACATAACGACTTGCACATCTAATTGTTGCAAAGGGTCCACCTGTATCCATATTTGAACGATATGTTTTTGCCCTTCCCTTCCTTGGGCCTGGCTTAGTTCACTTAATATAATTTTGTCCAAGTCTTCCCATTTCCTAACAAATGGGGCAATCTCATTCTTTCTGATGGAGGCATAGAATTCCATTGCATGTATATATATAACACATTTTCTTGATTCATTCATCTACTGAGGGGCATCTGATTTGGTTCCAGATCTTAGCTATCGTAAATAAGGCTGCAATAAACATAGTTGTGCTGGTAGCTTAAGTATGGTCTTGTTTGTGATCATTTCAGTAAATGCCCAAAACTGGGATTGCTGGGTCATAAGGGAGCTCTATGTGGCGTCTTTTGAGGAACCTCCATACTACTTTCCAAAGTGGTTGAACAAGTTTACACTCTCACCAACAATGCAGTAAGGTTCCCTTCTGTCCACATCCTTTCCAGCATTTGTTGTTATTAGAGTCCTTGATATAGCAAGGATGAGGTGGTATCTCAATGTAGTCTTGATTTGTAATTCTTTTATGGCTAAGGAGGTTGAACATTTCTTCATGTGCCTATTGGCCATGCTTCTTTCCTCTTTAGAGAAGTTTCTCTGTAAGTCTTTAGCCCACTTATTTATTGGGAAGTTGTTTCTTTGAAGATTTGTTCTTGGAGAATTTAATTTTTTGAGTTCCAGGTATATTTTAGATATGAGACCCTTGTCTGTTGTATGGCTAGTGAACACCTTGTCCCAATCCGTGGCCTTTCTATTGATCTTGCTAGCTATGTCCTTTGCCATGCAGAAGCTCTGCAATTTCATGCAATCCCATTTGTCCAACCTTTCTTTGATTTGTTGTGTTTCTGGGTCTCTATTAAGAAAATTTCGGCCTGTGCCAAGGAGACCTAGGGTTTCTCCTATTCCAACTTGTAATGTTTTCAGAGTGTCTGCTTGGACTCCGAGGTCTTTGATCCATTTGGAGCTGATTCTGATGCAGGGTGATATATAAGGATCCAGCTTTAGTTTTCTACAAGTAGCTAACCAATTTTGCCAGACCATTTACTGAACAGACATTCTTCCATTCTATTTTTTTAGCTCCTTTATCAATGATTACATGGCTATAGGTCTGTGGGTTCATTTCTGGGTTTTCAATTGTATTCCATTGGTCCTGAGGTCTGTTCTTGTGCCAGTTCCAAGCTGTTTTGATTGCTATGGCTTTGTAGTAGAGTTTGAAACTTGGTATTGATATTCCTCCAGCACTGTTCTTTCTGTTGAGGATCGTTTTGGCTATTCAGGGTCTTTATTGTTCCATATGAATTTTTGGATTGCCTCTACTATTTCCTTGAAGAATGAGTTTGGGATATTGATAGGTATCACGTTGAATTTGTTTATCTTGTCAAGTATTTTTTCTGCATCTATTCAGATAACCATGTGGTTCTTATCCTTGCTCTTGTTGATGTGATGAATTATATTAATTGATTTGCATCCCTGAAATTAATCCTTTTTGATTGTGGTGTATGATTTTTTGGATGAATTGTTGAAGTCGATTGTCCACAATTTTGTTGAGTAATTTTGCAGCAAAGTTCATCAAAGGAATGGGTCTATACTTCTCTTTCTTTGATGAGTCCCTGCCTGGTTTTGGAATGAGGGTTATTATAGCTTCATAGAATGAGTTTGGTATTGAACTTTCTCTTTCAATTTCATTGACGAGTTGGAGGAGTATTGGTGTGAGCTCTGCTTTGAAAGCCTTGTAGAATTCTGCTGAAAATCCATCTGGTCCTGGGCTTTTCTTAGATGGGAGGTCTCTTATTGCTGTTTCTATTTCAATGCTTGATATAGGTCTGTTAAGATGGTTTACCTAATCTTGGTTTAGTTTCTGCCTGTCAATATTTGCTAGGAAAAGGTCCATTTCTGCCAAGTTCTCAAACTTATTAGCATAAAGTTTTGAGAAGTATTCCCTTACAATGTTCTGAATCTTGGTTGTTTTTGTGGTGATGTTTCCATTCTCATCTCTGAATTTATTTATTTGGGTGTGTTCTCTTCTTTTTCTGATAAGATTTGCTAAGGGACTGTCAATTTTGTTAATTTTTTCGAAGAACCAACTCTTTGTTTTGTTGATTATTTCTATGTTTTTTTTTTTTTTGGATTCTAATTCATTTATTTCTGATTTAATTTTAATTATTTTTATCCATTAACTAGATTGTGGTTTATCTTGATGGTCTTTTTAAGGAGGCGCAGATGTCTCATTAAATTTTATAATAGGTACAAAAAAAGAGTTCTTTGATTTTTTGGGGGGGGCATGGATAGTAAGATCCTGTATCTCCCTTGTGTCCATAACCAGTCTCTAGTTGGAGTCTCTTGTCTGCTTGTGGGTTTGATTTTCCTGTAGCTTGGATGGTTTCTTAAGTCAGTTTGTTTGAGCAGGCAGAAAAATACTCTTCTTTACACAGGTTTTTGTGATCCTCTTCCCAAACTTGTTCAATGGAAGGGACATCTGCTTTGAGTATCACAAAAGAAGGAGATGGCTGTTTCCTCTAGTTTGGAGATGCTGTGATGAGGCTAGGTTCTGGATAGAGTTGAAGCCTTTTAGCAAACAGCAGCTTTTCCCAGAGGAGCTAGCTTCAGAGAACACACAGAGCCCATCCTGGAGCCATTCTCTGGGTTTATGTTTACTGAATTTCAATTGATTGTCAAGGCTGCTGTAGGGAGGGGCAGCCTCTGGCTCTGTTTACCCAGTGAAGAAAGCCCCACCTGGGGCTGGTAGCCAGAGCTGGGTGACTTTCCCCTGGGTGAAGTTGAGCCTGGCAGGTTTGGGTAGGTTCCTGTGACCCGCTAAATGACCCTTGTTTTCTTCCAAGGCTGAGTTCGAGCTAGCAGCTCAGCCAGGCCTTTGTCAGTATCAAAGATGGAGATCTCCAGTAGTGGGGGGGAGGGGTGGTTTTCCTTCCTCTGTTACCTGAGAAGGAGTGAGGATGTCAGGCTTCTACTCATGCCAGAGTCTTGGTTCCTGGGTCCTCTCTGGTCTGGGAACTGCATTATGAAGATGTCTGCTCCTTGTCAGTTCTTGCTGTTGTTGAGTAGAATCCACTGGCCTGCCGTGCTTGGCGCCTTTGCGTCGAACTCTCTGTGTTGTAGGTATGGGGGCTACAGATGCTGCCGCTGCTACTGCCACCAAAGCAGCAGCTGCTGGCAAGTGCTCAGATCTGTCTCCTTGCCTGGATTTTCCCTCTCTGGCCTAACTCTCTGTACTGTGATGGCACACTTGGTGTGATTCTCTGGCTTAGGACTGTTCACTGGAACACTGAAACTGCTTTCTAAACGAGAGCTTGTTTAGCCTCCAGCTTCTCCTCCACCATGTTCCGGGAACTCCCTCCAATTTGTTGATGTAGGAACTCAGAGCTATAAACTTGCCTCTGAGTACTGCCTTTGCTGTGTCCCAGAGGAGCTGGTAGTTTGTGTGTTCATTTTTGTTGAATATCATGAACACTTGAATTTCATTTCTAATCTCTTCCATGACCCACTGGTGGTTCAACAGTGTGTTCTTCAGCCTCCATGTGTTACAGGACTTTCTTTGGTGGCTTTTGGTGTTGAGTTCTAATTTTATTCCCTTGTGGTCTGAGAGAATGCAGGGTATAACTTCAATGTTTCTGAACTTAGACAAGCTTGCTTTGTGACCTAAAATGTGACCTATTTTGGAAAATATTCCATGTGCTGCTTAGAAGAGCATGTATTCTGATGCTGCTAACTGAAATATTCGGTAGATGTCTGTTAAATCCAGTTAATCTATGCAGTTGTTTAGGTCTGCAGTTTCTCTTTTGAATTTTTGCCATGTTGGTCTATCTAGTGGGGATAGTGGTGTGTTAAAGTCCCCAACAATTAATGTCTTTGGATCTATGTGGGTTTGAGAGAAAGTAGTGTTTCTTGGATAAATTTTGGTGCTCCCGTGTTTGGTGAATAGAGATTTAGAATTGGAATATCTTTCTGAGGGAGAGATCCCTTAATTAGTATTTAGTGACATTCTTTACCTCTTCTAACTAATTTTAATTTGAAGTCTATTTTATCTGATATTAGGATTGCAATTCCTGCCTATTTATGGGGGCCGTTTGCTTGGCAGATTTTCTTCCAGCCTTTCACATTCAAAATGTGTTTTTTTATGGGAAAAGCATGATTCCTGAATGCAGCAGATAGAAGAATCTTGCTTTTTAATCCAACTGGACAGTCTATGTCACTTAATTGGAGAGTTAAGCCTGGTAATGTTAAGAAATAAGACTGAGAGGTATTTGGGAGTTCCTGCCATTTAATCCACCTTCTTGTGGGCTACGGCAAGTGGTTTCTTCCTATGGTTCTTAGATTCTCAGTTTCTGTGCAGTTTCTTGTCCTTTATTGTGGTCTTGTTGGTTTTCTATGTGTAGGATATCTTTCAGTATCTTTTGTAGGGCTGGTTGGGTGGAGATAAATTGTTTCGATTTTTCTTTGCTATGGAAGGGTTTTATTTGACCTTCAGTAATGAAGGAGAGGTTATCTGGGTACAGTATTCTTGGTTGATAGTTGTTTTTCTTTAGGGTATAGCATACATCATTCCAGGCTCTTTTTGCTTTGATTGTCTCTGCTGAGAAATCTGAGGTGATTCTAATTGGTTTCCCTTTATAGGTGATTGATCTTTTCTCCTGGACATCTTTAAGGATCTTTTCCTTGGTCTGAATTGATACTGTGTGGATTATAAAGTGACAGTGGGGTGACCTATTCTGGTCTGGCCTATTTGGACTTCTAAAAGCTTCTGTATCTGAATAGGCCTATCTTTTGCATGTTTAGGAAGTTCTCTGCTAGGATCCTGTTAAACAAATTTCCTAAACCATTATATTCTGGTTGTAGATGCTCCTCTATACCCATTATCCTCAGATTAGGCCTTCTGATGGTGTCTTCCAAATGTTGAATAGATCTATCATATTTCTTGGACTTTTTGGATGGTTTCATGTTCTTTCTCTATAATATCTAGGCTGTGTTCAATCCCCAATATTCGAACTTCTGCATGGTCTAACCTAGTGTCAAGATTTCCTATATTGGGGCTGGGAAGTTGGCTCAGTGGTAGAGCGCATGCCTTACATGCCTGAGGCCCTGGGTTCGATTCCTCAGCACCACATAAGCAAAATGAAAAAGTTGGAAGTGGCACTGTGGCTCAAGTGGTAGAGCGCTAGCCTTGAGCTGAAGAGCTGAGGGACAGTGCTCAGGCCCAGAATTCAGGCCCCACGACCAGACCCAAAAAAATTAAAAAAAGAAAAGTACTTCCTACTTTGTTTTTTATTTCTTTTCCTTATAATTGGTCGGCTTTGATGGCTTCAAATTCTTTGTTGCAGCTTTGTTTTAGATCTTGTATGAACTTCTTTATATCCTTAATTTGGTGTTCCGTGTTTGTTCTCAAATCACTTATTTGATTGGTTATGGTTTCCTTGGACTGCTATTCCTTCTGTTTTGCTCCATTCAGCATTCCCTTTGAGGTCTCCCTGACTTCTTTCAGTTTTCTCTTTATGTATTCCATGAATGCCTCTATTGAAATGATGTGATGAGGCTAGGTTCTAGGTAGAGTTAAGGCCTTTCAGCAAACAGTGGCTTTTCCCTGAAGGACTAGCTTCTGAGACACTCACAGAGCCCAGCCTGGAGCCTTTCTCAGGGTTTATGTTTACTGAATTTCAGTTGATTGTCTAGGCTGCTGTAGGGAGGGGCAGCCTCTGGCTCTGTTTACCCAGTGAAGAAAGCCATTCCTGGGAGGGCAGAGCTAGCTCTTCCTCGGCTGGGTGACTTTTCCCTGGGTGGAGCTGAGCCTGGCAGGTCTGGGCAGGTTCCTGTGACCTGCTAAAAGACTCTTGTTTTCTCCCAAGACATGAATTGGAGCTAGCAGCTCAGCCAGGCCTTTGTCAATATCAAAGATGGAGATCTCCAGTAATGGTGTGGGGGGATGGCTGGCCTCCTCTCCTCTGCTCCCTGAGAATGAGTGAGGATGTCAGGGTTCTACTCACACTACTGGAGTGTTGGTTCCTATGTCATCTCTAGTTTGGGTTCTGCACATGAAGATATCTTCTCCTTGTCAATTCATACTGGTGTTGAGTAGAATTTGCTCATCTAGGGCCAGCTTGCCTGGCAGGGGGCTGCCAGAATCCCAGAGACACAGAGGGCTGTCTGCAGATCACCAGCACAGAAGCTGCCTGAGGTACCAGTCTACAGACCAGCTAATCACGATGAACAGAGAAACTTTCGAGCTGGGAGTCTGCACAGAGATCTCCTCCCACCATTCACTCTCCATCCAAGTAGAAAGGCTCCATCCCGCCAAAGCTACCCGACCCCATGGTGGGAGCCCCAGAGCTACACGGTATGCCCACAGAACACCAGAGGAGAAGATCTGCAAGGAACTGGAGCAGATCTGGAGAGAGTAAACAGAGACAAACCCTAGCGCTCAGAACCTGCACAGAGGCTCCTGGAGTCCCAGGGACACAGGTCTCTGGAGGCTGTCTGCAGATAACCCCCACAGAAGCTGCCTGAGGTATCGGTGTCAGACCAGCCGATCGTGACAAACAGAGGAACCTCAAAGTCCAGAACTCGGTCCCACAACTAGCTCCAGGATGAGTACCTCGCAGGGGACAGTGTATCCCTCAAGGGAGGCCAGAGCTGGTGGGAATCCCCAGACCCTGACCCATAACTCCTACCCCAACAACTGGACCACAGGACCCACTAAAACTGGGAACTGTTCAAGAGCTCCACCAGCCCGCAGAGCACACACTGCTGGCCAGGTTAAAACAAGAGTGCCCCTGGAAGGGAGCTTAAATGCCCAAGCCAGGAAAAGAGGCCCTGGGTCAAGAGACCCAACAGTGGAAGAAATTTGAACTGTGTACTGCAGGCTGCATAACCTAGGCATGATACACAGCACTACAGGTCCAACCGGCATGCCCCAGGACAGGGTCTGGGACCAGGCCTGGGGATCCGGTGCCTGAGCAGCACAAATAACCCCTCCCAACTGAAGTCAGAAGCTGAGCATACGCCTCAGTGGAGGGGAGAAAAACAGGGAACTGCACCCCCTGGGAAGCACGCCTGTGACAGCAAAAGACCCGGGCGCTGAGGACAAGAGAAGCCCAAACCCCACCAGAACCTGACCCATATATTCTAGGCTGGCAATTGGACAACACAGGCCATCAGCTCCTGATAACAGGCAGAAGCTCAGGCTGGTAAGTTGGCTCAGCAGTAGTGTGCTTGTCTTGGGTGCATGAGGCCCTGGATCTGATTCCTCAGCACCACATAAGCAGAAAGGGCCAGAAGTGGTGCTGTGGCTCAAATGGTAGGATGCCAGCCTTGAGCTGAAGAGCTGAGGCACAGCGCCCAAGCCCAGAGTTCAAGACCACAACCTGACAAAAAAAAAACCATCAGGAGACTATCACAGACTCCTGCATCTGGCAGAGTGCATCCAGCACACCCAATCTTGCCAAGAGCACCTGTAGGAACAAACAGGAGCAGTCTAGGCTGCTCAACCCTTCCAAAGGCGGGAACTGCCAGTGATCTACAGCAGAGAGCCAAGAACCCTATGTGGGTCAGACCAGCAGCTGGAGGTCGGCCCCCAACAGAACTGCGATCAGGTACAGACTCTCTCTACCAACAAAGAAACAGCAACCAATTAAAGACAGACATCTATTGACCAAAACAAAATTTCAGATCAGTCTCCAATAATCCCTGAACCACCATGCGAAAATCACAGAGAAAAATTACAATGTTTATCAACACCCAGGATAGAAAGCTACCATAACAGCCAGCAGCCACCCAGGGGAGAGGCCCAGTAGGAGCCAAGGAGGAATGGAAGACAAAAGCTACATCCAAGGGATGCTGGAGGCAATGACTCAAGAAATAAAGTAAGAAATAGACCAGAAATAGAAAGAATACATGGACAAACTATCAAAAGAGATGCAGGATCTCAAACACAAGGTACACACATAAAATAGAGGTAGTACATACCTCACTAAGAAGTGAGATAAATGCCAAAATAGAGGCAGTACATACCTCATTAAGAGGTAAGATCAGTACTTTGAGAACCAACATCGAGTCCATAAAGGAGTCCATTTCCTCCATGCAAACCACAATGGAAGCCACAGTTAACAGAGTGAACAAAATGGAATGTAGAGTGTCAGATACAGAAGACAGAATACACAAACTGGACCAAAAAGTGACAGATATGGAAAAATCACTTAAATTATGCCAAAGGGAAATTCAAGTGCAAGCAGATAGTGCCAAGAAATTTAACCTTCGTATAATTGGAGTGGACAAAGGTGAGGAATATCAAAGCAAGGGAATGCAACACCTATTCAACAAGATAATCGGTGAAAATTTTCCCCATCTCAAAAAAGAACATCTTACCTACATAACAGAAGCATATAGAACACCTAACAAGCAAGATCCCAGGAGAAACACTTCTAGGCACATTATAGTAAAAATGATAGATTTGAATAATAAGGAAACAATCTTGCATGCAGCAAAAATGAAGAAGGAGCTATACTACAATGGGAAAAATATTAGAATCACTGCAGATCTCTCCATACAAACACTGAATGCAAGAAAGGCCTGGGAAAGTAACATACGAGCCTTGACAGCCAATAACTGTTAACCCAGACTGTTATACCCAGCAGAGCTAGCATTCACATTCGATGGAGAGGTGAAAATTTTTAATAGCAAAGAAAAACTAAATGAATACATAAACATTAAGCCAGCATTACAAAGAATACTAAGAGGGGGAACACAACCTGAAGAAAGCAACCAAGAATAGGGACCCACACACAGACAGGCATTAATAGGAATCTAACTAAGCAAGCACAGGAAGAAAAGAAAGAAGAAAACCTGAGGAAAACAGGCAATGACAGGGACCACAATGCATCTCTCTATACTATCTCTTAATGTTAATGGGCTTAATTCGCCAATCAAAAGAAAAAGAACTGCAGATTGGATCAGAAAACATGACCCATCCCTCTGTTGCCTTCAGGAGACCCACTTCTCAGACAAATATACAAACAAACTCAGAGTAAAGGGTTGGAAAAGGAGCTACCAATCAAATTCCCCCAGTAAGAAAGTAAGCGTAGCTATCCTGATACCTGACAAGATAAATTTTTCATTAAAATCAATACAAAAAGACAAGGAAGGACACTACATGTTAATACAGGGAACAATCCAAGAGGAGGATATTATCCTCATCAACTTATATTCCCCAAACATTGGTGCACCCAGATATGTTAAGCAAATACTCTCAAAATTACAGAATAAAATAGATCCCAATATGATAATACTAGGAGACTTTAACATCCCACTCTCACCAAAGGACAGGTCTTCCAACCAGAGGATTGGCAATGAAGCTACCGAATTAAGTGAGGCCATACTTCAAGCAGAATTAACTGACATCTACTGAGTATTTCACCCTAAAACTACACAGTAGACATTCATCTCAGCAGCTCATGGAACTTTCTCCAAAGTAGACCATATCATAGTTCATGCAAGGAACTTAAGCAAATACAAGGGGATCGACATAATCTCCTGTATCCTATCTGACCACAGTAGAATCAAGCTAGTTCTCAATAATAAAGCATACTGCAGAAATTACTCTAATACATGGAAATTGAACAGCATACTTCTTAGCAATGCCTGGGTAATGGAAGAGATCAAAGAAGAAATAAATTTCCTACAACTCAATGAAATGCAGTCCTGAGGGGCAAATTTATTGCCCTCAGTGCCCTCATCAAGAAAATAGAGACAGACCAAGTAAATAATCTCATGTTGCAATTAAAACAGCTAGAAAAGCATGCAAAAATAGAACCTAAAGTTACTAGACGGAGCCAGATAACCAAACTAAGAACAAAGATTAATGAATTAGAGAATCGGAGAACCATAGCCAAAATTAACCATACAAAAAGCTGGTTATTTGAAAAAATAAATAAAATTGATGGACCATTGGCAAGATTAATTTAAAAAAGAAGAGGAAACCCATATTAACAGGATTAGAGATGCCACAGGGAAAATCACAACACGTACCCAAGATATCCAAACAATCTTGACGGACTACTTTCAAAAGTTATACTCTCTAAAGGAAGAAAACCTGGCAGAAATTCATGCATTTTTAGAGAAATACAAGTTGCCCAAACTGAGCAAAAAAGAAGTAAACCAATTTAAAAAGCCAATATCCTACAAGGAGATACAGGAAGCAATCAGAAGTCTTCCAACAACAACAAAAAAGCCAGGGGCTTGGAAGGTGGCTCAGTGGCAGAGCACTTGCCTTGCATGCTTGAGGCCCTGGGTTCGATTCCTCGCACCACATAAGCAAAAAGAGAAAAGCCGGAAGTGGCGTTGTGGCTCAAGTGGTAGAGCGCTAGCCTTGAGCTGAAGAGCTGAGGGACAGCGCCCAGGCCCAGAGTTTAGGCCCCACGACCGGACCAAAAAAAAAAAAAAAAAAAAGCCCACGACCAGATATATTCACAGCAGAATTGTATAAGACCTTTAAAGAAGAACTAATACCCATAATCCTCAAGCTCTTCAGAGAAACAGAGAAGGAGGGAGCTATCCCAAACTCATTCTACGGAGCCAATATCACACTCATCCCCAAACCAGGCAAAGACCCAACCAAAAAAGAGAATTACAGGCCAATTTCCTTGATGAACACAGATGCAAAGATCCTTAACAAGATTCTAGCTAACAGAATCCAGAAACACATTAAAAAAATCATACACTATGACCAGGGTAGGCTTCATCCCAGAGATGCAGAAATGGTTTGACATATGTAAATCAATAAATGTACTCCAACGCATCAACAGAGCCAAGGTCAAGAATCACATGATTATCTCCACAGATGCAGAAAAGGCCTTTGATAAAATTCAACATTAATTCATGCTAAAAAGCTCTGGAGAAAATAGGAATAGAAGGAGCATTTCTTAAAACAATAAAAGCCATTTGCGACAGACCAACAGTCAATATTATACTTAATGGGGAAAAGCTACAACCAATTCTCTTAAAATGAGGAACAAGGCAAGGATGCCCACTGTCTCCACTCCT